TTTTACTTTCCCCACTTACACAGTGGGTATGCCAGAAAAGCAAATGTTACTCCTACTTTGCTGATATTTTATCCCAGAATAAAAATGGTGATGATCTAATATTTGAAATTTACAAGATAATTCTCAAATATTGTGCAAAAACCCAAAACCTTTATTAATGAAAATACTTAGCTTCTGTAGTAAAAATACAAATAAATAAGAACTAAAACTGCAGTTCTATAAAACAATAAAAAGAAAACTGATATATAAACAAATTCATCTGTTGACTTTATAGCACTAACATCTAAAAAATTACTATTCTTTCTTATTAAATTTTTCATATTTCTTTTAATCGCAAATATATTATTTCATTCAAACAGTTTAAAGTCAGAAGATTTAAACAAGTATCCTCTCTTTCTGGCATATCCCATGGAGTTGTTTGCTAATTAAGAACTTTGTAAAGATTAATTTTATTACCAACATTTTTTTCTAAACTTAATTCCCCTAAAATAACCTGTTAAGTTTGTTATATCAAAATCGTATATTAAAGAGAATATTTTCAATAAATGAATATTAAATTGAATTTTGCTTTCTCTTAAAGAAGAATAAGTCAGTTATGTGCCATGCATGGTACATGCTTAGGCGATCATGTATCTTTTGATACATTACTGATGATGCAGATTTTTTACCATGGAAGGTTGCCATTTCTTTCTGTGGTAAACCAGTTGCCATCCAAGGCTATAGAACCTGGTCTGTCCTGCTATTTACCCATAGCTGGTAGGGAGAAAAAGAGGATTCATACCTTTCCCAAATGTATTAGCACGTAAGTGAATGTAATGGATTCAACTGGAATTTGAACTCAGCTCTCTGATTCTTCAATCTGAGCCACTATCCATTACTCCACCATGAATACTTATCAATAAAGAAGAATACCTATCAATACTAGAGAGGCCATTAACCTTGGCACCGATAAGCAAGAAAGCTCTTAGGTTTTATTCTTGATACAAAAGACAAAACAAAAAAAATTTACTTTTATTTTGTAATTAGTGCAGTATATGTATTGTATTATATTGAGGACTAACACAATTTATATGCGTTATATTTTTTTAAACCGATACAAGGCAGTAAAACAACTAAGACACAAGTTACTGGGTGTGAAAGAATTAGAAACAGAAACATTATTAATGAGTGAGAACAAAAAGCGTAATCAGGAGGAGAATAGATAGCAATTTACATTGCATTTAAATATCTGAAGCTTAAAGTTGGATGGAAAGCATGGAGCTGGAAGGGAGTTACACATATGAGAAGTGTGAGAAACTGTTAGCATAGAACTTACAGGTTCACAGTTCAACTTGACACCAGTCTAGTACCACATTTAAATTCAAAAAGTCTAAGTATCGTACCAAAGAGTTCATCCAAACAATTACCGTGAAACTATTTATAGAAAAGGCAAAAGGAGGCAACATTATGGCAGTGGGAAAATGACTGAAACCGAGATGCCAGATCAAGACCAATAATATTGCTGATTCTTCTTTGGATTTTATCAAGGAGCTCTAGATAAATAGCAGGAGCACCAAACTATATTGAGGCAGCAATATTCTAAGCATGGATGAATGCTAGACTTATTGAACTGATCAGATTTACTATTAAGACAGGAGTAAATGGCTGTGTCATCAGTGTAGATACCAAGTTGGGAGCTGATGCCATCATGAAGGTCATTAATGAAAATTGAAAACAATGTAGAACCAAGGATGGAGACCTGCATTAGTATAAAAGGATCTAGATGAGTGGCCATTCAAGATAACTTTCATTTCACAATTTGAAAGGAAAGACTGGACCAGTTCAAAAATTTGTCCAGAGACACTGTAACTCTTCAGCTGATGGAGAAGACCTGTATGCCAAACCCAATCAAAAGTTTTCAAGATGTCCAAAGTTACAGACTGGGCTTCACCATTTTTATCTAGAGTATGATTTATCTAGAGCAGACTCTTTCTGCAATTGTCATCAGTACATCAGCAGTTGGCCTGGAGAATGAACGCCATATTGCTTGTCTGAAAATTTTTATTCAGAATTATTTAGCCATTAAACAAAGATCATCAAAGACTATTCTTATTTTATTAAAAAAATTAACCCATTTTATTCAGACCATATTAGCAATTTTAAAATGAATAAAAAGGAAAGTGGAACTGATTGCATTTGTTGCAAATACTAAGAGAAAAATATTACATGAATGCAGAAATATGACTAACATTTTGATGCATAAGTACAAAAGACTAATGAGCAATATAAAGTTATTTCCCTGAAAACTTTATAAAAAAAATAAAAAATAATTGTAGAAATTTATTTGGTACATTATTATAGTTTGTATTTTTTTTTTTCATTTGAATGAATAACATTTTCTGGAGAGAAAGTGGCTGAGAATCATTCAATATTTGTAATTATGGGATGATATGTAATTAGTCCATTATGAAATTTTTATCACTATCCTCATAAATTAATTTACCAAAATACTGAGTTAAGTAACATTCAGTTAGATGTTATACTGGATGTCATGAGCAGAGGAGGCAATTCAGTTAAAAAATAATAAAAATATTTTTAAAAATGTTGGCTGAACAGAGTAAAAATTAGGGTTTATATATCAATGGTCTGCCTTGGCATTAGTTAATTTCAAGCATATGATTTATAAAATAGCAAGATTATTCCTTGTTATATACAATTAAGACTATAATACATTTAAATTCAGTTAAAACCTTTAGAAGAACTCTTTTTATATATTATTTTATTAAATCCAGCTGTTCAAAAAACAAATACTGATTTATTGATTGATTCCTTTTTACAGCTTATCAAACTTTTGAAGGTTATTTAAAGCCAAAAAATATTTTTAGGTTGTAAGAATTTTCTTTTGAGATAATAATGGTTTAGCGATACAAGTCTTACTAATTAACCCATAGCTGGGAGGAGGAGGTGTATTCATACCTTTCCCAAGGGTACATATGCTTAAGTGAATATAATGAACACAACAGGAATTGGAACTCAGCTCTCTGATTAACAATTCTGAGCAATTATTCATTACACCACCTGCACATCCAAGTTTACACCATCTGGTATTCCCAAGTGGTCGCCTATCTTGAAATTGCTTAACTTCAGTGATCATTGCTGAACAGTGTCATTCTTTATCAAAGAATGTAAGAATGATAAGAAAAAATAAGTTTAAATTAATTTTCTTAACAGACCAAACCTGTTGCCATTTTTAGGAAAAAAAAACACTATTGTCATATATGGAACTGTAGAAAGAAATTTAGTCTACATATTTTAATTATTCCTTTCAAATTCTTTGACAAAATGTATTCTCTTTAGAATTAAAATTTGGAGACAGGTGCATTTCACCTGAATTTAATAGGGAAGTATTTCTCAAGAAGAATTTCAATATGGTTTTGTTTGTACAGAGGTTTCTACTTCTATAGAGAGTTGTACTTGTGGTTTATTTATAAAAGATAAGCAATGATTAAAACTCTTAGAATTATTATTTTCTTCAACCACAGACCTTAAACATAACAGCAGGAGCAGCTCTAAAATAAAATTCATATCAGCAGCAGCTCTCGAATATAAAAACACATGAACCCTAAAGTAACATTCTCTTGTTCAGGCTTTCCTCTTTTGAACTGGGGTCATGAACTTTTCACTCTGAAGCTAAAAGGGTTGTGAGCACTACACACATAGAACACAACAACAAAGTAAGTTCCCACTATAATATATTCATGAACATTTTCTTGTGTATACTTATATATTTACATCTACCAGAAGAAACTCTTGTTTTAAACTTTCCTTTTGTTAATTTATCTAATAAATGTGATCTTGCATTGCAAATCAATTGGTCTGTTATTTTGTGCATGTACTATTTTACACCACCATTATTTCATGTACTACAAAATGTTGCAGTAAGAAACACTCTTCTGAATTTTCCTCTTTTAAACTGGTGTCATGCTGAAGGTAAAAGGGCTTTGAGCACTACACACTACACACATAAAACACACCAACAAAAAAGTGGACCGACCAAAACAGAATTGGTGCAGAAGTGTTGATATAGAGGTGAAGGCAGCTGGCACAACATGGGCCAAGCTGAAGAGGATAATCCAGAACTGTGTCCATTGGAAAGGTGTTGTTGCAGCCCTATGTTCCTCAAAAAACCAAGAGGCATCGTCGGCATCCGTCTGTCTCGAGAGACCATGGAGTAGTGCAGTGCGCTACAAACATGGGCAAGATATATGGAGAACTAGGGCTGCCCAGACATCTAGTTCCTCCTCTCGACCTTGCTAGAATAGTCCAAAGGAGAGGATAAACCAATACAGTTTGGTACCAATATGGCTGCAGGAGTTGCCGGAAGATAGCACAAAGTGCCGTCCAGCTGTCTTCGGGGCTCCATTCCGGGTTTGAATTCAGAGTTGTCCTTCTCCTAGACCAGTTGCCATCCAAGGCTACAGAACCCAATTTGTCCTGCTATTTACCCATAAGAGGAGAAGAAGAGGATTCACACCTTTCCCAAGGGTATTAGCACATAAGTGAATGTAATGGATTCGACTGGAATTCGAACTCGGCTCTCTGATTCCTCAATCCAAGCTCATATCCATTACTTTACCATGCCTCCTCTTACTCTTAAACCAAGAGGCGTAATATATATGTATATATATATATATATATATATATATTATCTCATATATGCAAGAGACATAATATATATATATATATATATATATATATTATCTCATATATGCAAGAATTTACTAATAACAATGAGGAAGAATTCAATTTTTAAAATCTAAACTTCATCTATACTATGAATTTTAAAGAGACTTCGTTAATGATTCATGCAACTCGTCCTTGCAAAGATAAATTATTGACATGACCTGAAATTTTGTATACAATGTTAGAGAAATATTTACGATGCTAATTTTCCTCTTGCTCTTCTGAAATCTTCAATTATTGAGAGAAATAAATAAATAGGTAAAAAAATATTCACTTACCGTGCAATAGGTTCATTGTCAATTTTCACCACACAATAAGGATCACTCATTCCAGTACTGAAAAGAAAATTAAAAAACATAAGAAAAGAGTGTGAGTTCAATACCCGGTTAAGGCAGTGGAGAATTTTCAGAGGGAAAATTAGCAGGAGATAACTGATAACTGACATCCATCAAACATGGCACATGGAACTAGAACAGTCTACCCCAGTGATCGAAATAAAGGGTTAAGTTCGAAATTCCAACCACCTGAAGAAGGCTGGAGCATACAACGGCCAAAACGTTGTGACAAATATGGCGACAAAGATGAGGACAATAGTCCGACTAATGTAAATAGTGTACATAATACCTCATCTCAGAAATATAGACAGAATAAGAGAAAAAGTTGTAAATTATAAAAACTGTAAATTACTCACAATATATCTTTCTTTTTCATCAATTTTCTCTTGAGTAATTTAAATGAGTTTCTGTTTTCTGGATGACAGTCTTTAAAATAGTGAGTCCTTTTAAGTTGTACAGATTATTACATGTGTGTTATAATTAATTATGAAAATCTATATAAATTAAAATTTGGTAAATAATTATACTCTTAAATTATAACAAGCACATCATCTTACTTATTATAAAACGCAGATTGTGTGTGTGTGTGTGTCTGTACGTTTATATATGGGATCGGATTTCCTACATTTTTCAACCGATTTCAACAAAACTTCACAGGACTACGTAAAATTACCTTGCGGTGGTTCTGACAGCACCAAAAATTGGAAAAACACAATTGTTTTTGCACGAAATCAATTTGAAAACACGATTAAGAGGCATTAATGAAAGGGGGACAACTCATATCGTGTTATACTTATTATAAAACGCAGGTTGTTTGTGTGTGTGTGTGTGTGTGTGTGTGTTCATTTATATATGGGATCGGATTTCCTACATTTTTCAACTGATTTCAATAAAACTTCACTTTTTTTTGGCAGGTAGTGTTTCTTATTGTATTGCACACTTTTTTCTTTATTTCTACATTCAGAATGCTTTAAAAATTCCATTTACAAGACAATTGTTTATAATAAAATTCTATTCAATCGGTAGAAAATGTTTTTGTTTGAGTTTGGGTTTGACCAATTCGTAAAAAAAACAAAAAAAAAAACTAATTAAGACATGCGTGTCCGTCAACCTTAAACAATTATCTTTGTCAATTTTATTTTTCAGTCTGTGGTTTAAATTTTATCATTGCACATCAAGATGGATCACTGTAGACAAGGCTAATAAACCTCTTATTTGTCAATATTACTTTATTATTGTAAAGGAAAAAACAATTGTTAGGGAATAAAAACAACATATCTTAAATAGTGTGGGGGGATAAAATAAACAATTTTTATTTACGCTATTTACATGTAGACTTTTATTTACACTATTTACATGTAGATGTCGTCGTCATCATCATCATCATCATCATCATCATCATGTCAAGAATTCTTCTCGGATTCTCCCAACTCATTCTCTCCAACCATCTCTATCAGACATCGCCTTCGGCAGGTTCTCCAGATGGCATCCAGACTCATCTACAAGTTGGTCAATGTAGGTGTGATGAGGGCTTCCAACCAATCTTTTGCCATGCAATGGGTTCCATAGGAGGGTGTTACTTACAAGTTCCAATTTACTTCTCTATGAGTGACCAATGAGTAAAGCCTTCTCTCTCTTAGCAAAACTGATATAGGGGGATGGTGTCCATACAGGCATTTTCTGGATGTTTCTTCCAGCTGATGTTCAAAGCAACTTGTAACCTCCTTGTGTATATTCCGTCAAGTGATGCTTCTTGATGTTTTGTCATTGTTCATGTTTTTGAGCCATAGGGTAAGACAGATTCTACCATGGCCTTGAAAAAGTCCCTATTAAGGCCATGGTAGAATGTCTTGCTCTATGGTATCATGTAGATGTAGTCATCTTATATTGTCAGAGGAAGACAATAGTCCACATGTAAATAGTGTAAATAATAGTAACTCCTCATCCAAATGTAGATTTTTGAAAATGATAAACCCTCACTCATTAAAAATATAGAGAATATAAAACATGTAGTAAAAATATGGGAATATTAAAAGAATAAAAATTATGGTGGAGTAATAGATAGCGGCTTGGATGGAGGAATCAGAGAGCCGGGTTCAAATTCCAGTTGAATCCATTACAGTCATTTATGTGCTAATGCCCTTGAGAAAAATATGAATCCTCTTCTTCTCCCCTCTCCCCCAGCTATGGGTAAATAGCAAGACAGATCAGGCTCTGTAGCTGATTGATTTAAGATTTACTGGACATTAAGCCAAGCTGCGCTACTAGCAAGGCATTCACTGAAATGGTTATCATAATTCCTCAAGTATAATATGCCTTCAGCCATAATACGAACCCCTAAAATTGTGCTGAAAGTTTGGAAAAATGCTTCTACTCATGTATAATATGCACCCTTTGTTGGGTAATCAAATCCTATAAATTGTACCTCTCCAATTTCATTATAGCCAGCATTTCCCACTCTTTTTTTTTAAAAAAATGGTTTTAAATATAGAATAATATTATTCTAATTTAGTTTGATGATTATTCTTATTTTGTTTTACGGCAATTTTTTAAGATTTTTTTGTTGCTGTACATAATATGCACTACTGATTTTGCTTATTATTTTTTAGAAAAAATGTGTATTATACATGGGGAACTACGGTAATTATCTTTGGTTGACTTTTACTTCTTTGTTCTTGTTAAGTATTTATTTGTGGTTGTAAATAAACACTGTTTTATCTTAACATTGAAGTCTTCAGTTATACTCAGTTATTAACAGTCATCATACATCAGAAAATTATGCTATTGTGATTTCAAGTGGACAGATTAGTGAAAATATTTCCAGATGTTTTCATTTCTAATTTTAGGCATAGTAAAATTCTCATATTATAAATAACATTTTTTTATGAATGTAAGAATAGTTTAATTTGTTAAGACAGAGAGAAAGTAAATGATAAAAAAAAACACTAGGCCTGGGAATACCAGTATTACTAAACTGTGAATCAACAAATTTCCAGTAATATCAAAATGCATTTTCAGCGATGCCTGAAACAGTTCAAGAGATGCAGTTGTCACTTATGTGAAGAAGTTGGCCACTTGACCTACTTGTCATGCCATTGTCATGAAACACTTATTCTTCATCTTTGGCGCGTTGACTAAACAAGAAAATTTTTGCCTTACTTGGATATCTGCCTTTGAAATCTGATAATACCAAATATATGGAATGATTTCTTTTGTACTTTATATCTATAACTATGTCAGTCCTGGGTATAACGATAAACTATATCTGCATCCTGGGTAAGATGATAAACTACGTCCAGCAGCAAGGCCTCTGATCAGGTTTTGAGGAGCATGGAGCCACCTCTTAATTGCTGGTATTTCCAGGTCCACCCTGACCCAGGGTAGTAGCACCTGTTAGAGTTCCAGTTTTGGCAAATAGTTAACCCCTGAACTGGGTAAAAACACTATGAAAGTGTAAAAATAGGTTTTGATACCAGAAATACATTTTTGTAAAAATATTACCAGCAATGAATTTTTGAAGAAAAAATTATTACCAGCAATTAATTTTTGAAGGAAAAAATATTACCAGCAATACATTTTTGAAAAAAAAAAAAATGCAAATATTGCATTTTTGAAAAAAATATTACTAGCAATAAAAATCTTGTTGGCATTAAATAACCTATTGAGGCTATATACTTAAAACAAAATAAATGAAATCAAACTAAAACCAAAAGAATGCATATTCTATTCATACGAATCTATGCTAAAATTCTAGTCAGCATTAAATAACCCATTAAGGTTGATATGCCGTAAAACAAAATAAACGAAACCAAAATAAACCAAAGAATACATATTCTATTCATACGAACCCATCCTAAAAATCTTATTGGTATTAAATTAGCTGTTGAGGTTGATTTGTCGTAAAACAAAAGAAACGAACCAAACTAAACCAAAGAATACATATTCTATTCATACGAACCTATCCTAAAAATCTTGTCGGCATTAAATAACCCATTGAGGTTGATATGCCGTAAAACAAAACTAATCAAATCAAACTATAAATATGTCTAAATATCTATTTTGTTTCATGCACAGGATAGCTGAAAATTGTCATTTGGAGATATCTGAAGACCTTGAGGATGTTTGAGTTAAGAAAATTGTTCAGACATTGAATAAAACAAAAACATTTATCCTCTCAGTTTCTTTATGTATTTCAATTTATTATATTTAACAAAAGACAAGAAAAAACTCAAATGTAGAGACAGAAGCCATTAATTACTGAAATATTAATTTTGGCATTCATTTAGATATTTACTCGTGGAACCCATGTAAATGATATGGATTTACTAATAAGTTTTTTTAATGCTTTAATCTGTACTTTTCAATCTACGACCATTCCCATACAGTGTTGTAGCATACCTACAGACGATAATGTGTATGTCATCATTCACATAAATACAATAGTAAATACTGTATGTTGGTCTGCAGTCAGAGATTCATCTCCAGTCGTGCTGGTCAAACTCTTGGCCTCCGGGTAGAGAGGATCTCCAGATGAGGCTATGTCAAAGGGCAGAGTCTCATCTTGGGAAACAGCTACCCAATCCTGTTTTATACAGAGTGTATGGGGAATTTTTGGCCAAGCCTACGGGCTTGGATACCCCACATTAAATTCAGCTTTGTGCCACATCTGACCATGTGGGGCAGTTGGTTGATATCCTGCAGGTGGAGATTCATTGTGGAATTCACTTAGCTCACTTCTAGCAGGTGACTACTTCTTATATGCATCACTGGCAAATCTTATATGTGTTGTTCTTGTTCTAAGTATTATCATTCATTAACAACCTTTGTGTGATTATTCTGTTCAGTAACCTTCCCTAGGTTGCAACAGATAGTTATAAGAAAAGTGATATAGTCTCTCTTAAACATACTGAAATGTCCTCAATATATCATTAGGTCACAAAGCCTAATTTAATCCCTCACTACAAATAACTTCCTTTATCTAAGATAATCCCCT